CGCTTTGAAGGTTTTGATTCATCGAATAAACAAATGCATGCTTTGATTTTACCCGAGACTATATTTGATTTAACAGAGAAGGAGTAACAGCCCCTGTGGCCTAATGGATAAGGCGTCGGTCTCCTACCTTGAAGTGAACCGAAGATTGCGGGTTCGAGTCCCGCCAGAGGTAGTTTATTTTGACTAAATGCACACAAACATAACATATTATTAGTATTTATTTCACGATTCTCTTGATATAAATGTACTTAGACAAAATAGCAATACCGGAGCGTAAACATGTTCGTGAAATATTTTACACTTGGCGTGATTGCCTTTGGCGGTACATTGCTGCAATGTATACACCTATCCTATAAGTGACGCCCTCTCGCGACAATCGCTTCTGTGACGTGCATAGATGACCCGAAGGTTGTTCACAACATCGATAATGTTTTGGTCTGCAGTAGTTCGTCGATTAAAAAAAATAATGTTTTTGAAAGATTTACTGTATTTTTAATGACCAACGACGACAAAGACAGTTATCGATTTAAAACTTTTCGCCCAATTATCTCGTTTTACGTTACACAAGCGCTTTCAAGTTGTCGCCAGAGGGCGCGACGTTTAATGACTCACTTGGGCAAAGGCAAGGAAGAAAACTTGTTCGTTCGACATTCCCAATCCCGGTAGTAGCTGTTCTTCGCCGTGCATGGACGTCCAACTTTTATAGGCCTGCGAAAGCAATAATGAACACACATGTCTGGATATCTATATTTTAGCATCGTAAAGAATCAATCTCTATAAATACTACTAATATATAAAATACCAAAAAGATGCAGCAATCTTTCCAATATTCCCACCGAATATAAGATAGATTCACATTGCTAATGACGGCCGATGTTAGTTTACGTGATATTTTTCTTGCTCGAGTGATGAACTCACGTTATATGATTGTCTAATGGCTCCAAGGTCAGCAATATTCTCCGCCAAGGTCAAGTTACCATTCACCTGCAAAAACAAAAATACATATACAAAAATAGAATAACAATGGTGATAAACCACTCATATCACTCCTATTTCCACACCAAGTCCACAATAACAAACGATGAATGGTCTTCTTTTTCTTATTAAATGAGAAAAATACATGCGGCCATGCACATCAAGAAACAACAAACAATATTTTTATTTGAAAAAAAGTTAAGTTTTTGTAAAATCCGACGCATACTGATTGTGCCATTTGTCGAGAATATATCAAATTGTTCAGTTCATTCAATCTAGTTACCATTATTACATTATCACATCCGGGATATGCCAGTAGAACCGGAATACATCCTGAACATCCGGGTTATACTTACATGTGTATTGGTTCCCTCAACTTCATAACCGTCGTAAAGATTGATCACACATTGGGCACGTTGCTCAAATCTGGTACTTGATTCTTCCGACCACCAGGGGGCGATAGTACCATGTTTGTTGTAAAGTCTCCCTGAATAGAGAAAGTAGTATTGTCAACATGCACAAATTATGGATAACGGAAACACGAATTTCAATGACTTGGTTAGGTCAAAGTTCCACTTTATAAAACGATTCTGAGTTTAGTCACGTTTAAAGCGCGGTGGTCGTCGGTGTTTCATGTAAATAAACAATGTATTATACACGCGTTGTATACGTCGCTAAGAGTCCCATATCGAACAGGGCGCGGTGCGACGACCACCGCCCTTTAATACAAAATTAGTTCATCGTTAAAAACCCGGATGTTACGAGACCATAACACAATACTTTTAGAGACATTTTTTTACACAACATTTTGTAATACATTTTCAACATCCGAAAGTTCCACCCAACACCTATGTCTATGTCAATCTATTTATAATTAAAATAACAGGACGTGTCATTATCTATTCTGTTCCATTAAAGTGGGAGGGTCATCACCTGCGCACGCGCGGGAAATTTAGTCCAAAGCGATCGTTGTGTCGTCACAAGAAGCGCTGTAGAAAGGACGCAGACCTGCAGCGTCAACGCCCAAGCGATGATAACAACACGCGCTAAGAACGCAAAGGCTCATGGAAAGACGCTTGTTTGTAAACAATGTCACGCTATGGCCATCTGACGCATGCGTAGGTGACGACTCCCCGGCTTTAAAGTGTCACGTGACGTACCTCGTGTGTCAAATCCATGGATGAGTTCATGAGCGATGACGTAACCAATTCCACCGTAGTTGAGAGCCCTGTTTTATAATGTAATACATAATTGAGAAAAAATGTGAAAATAATAAATGGTATTTCAATGCATGACAAGACTACTATGTACGGTGAATGAATTTGCGGAAGTGCTCGACTTGAGGAATCCAGTTGCAGTAAAAATTGATAAGAAGAACACCGTGTGCAATGATCTGAATCCCCGGTTTTACGTTTTATCTGTATAATTAGATGAGTAGCGATCTAAACATCCTGTGATGAATAGGAGAGTAGTTTCAACTTTTTGACCTTATTGATTCGATACGTGATTGTTGTGAGTCTTTGATGAAAATGAAATGAAATGCACAACGGTTATCCCATGCACTCCAATTATTGGACGTGATAGTTGAGCTTCTAATAAGCTATATACATATATATTATGAGAAAGATTTTTTTCAAGGTTGCTTTAATTCACAGAACATTGTAAAACACACGGTATTTTTTTTTTGGTGAAAAGAATCTTTAGTTTTTTTTTTTTTTTTTTTTTTTTGCACCACCATTTTCAAGTTCTACGAAATAGTCGTCTACGTTCTACGTTCCATAAAATAGTCTTTTTCTATTGCCTGTTGTTTTTTAGGCTCAACGCGAATCTTACCCACACGCGCTTCAATTCGGCGAGGAGATTCTAATTGTGAAATGTACAACATCTGTAGAAATGTGCAAGTTTATTCTCGCTCTCAAATCCACTTGATAAGTTAACTATGAGGGCGTGATTTACTCACCATAATGATTCACTGTCGAACAGGGTTGGTTGTAAAATACCTGCGAGGATAACTGAACATATGAAAAGAAACAGAGTTGGTATTAGAAAACAAAGATACCAATGGGAAATAAACAGGCTATTTCTCTGTTACGCCACTTCATTATCCAACATCTATCCTCGGGGCGGACATCCGGGCATTTTCACCGCCTGGCAACCTGCGGCGGTGAAAACAAAGGCTCAAAACTCGCAGAAAACGGTATTTTGGGGTGATTGTTGAGACTCCTCTGAACAGTGCAACAAGATTAGCCCTACGTGTGTAACATATATAAATTTGATTGTTATGGATTACTTCAAAGTTGAGTTTGTATTGTTTTCTCGAATTTTCACCGGCTCGACCGGCGTTCCACAGCAGCGCGTACAGAGCCCATAGAAATACGTGGTACAGTGGTGCGCGTCTTAGCAACGTGGAACGTCTGTGACGTAGCTCCGCCCCCGAGGATTGTTTATGAGATATTACTATCTGGTGTCGTCGATAGGCGTTAGTGGAGGTTGTTTAAGTATAGCCAGTGGAATGCTACATAGTTTTCGTGCTGCATAAGACTCACCCATTTCGTTCATTGTGCTAACATAGAATGCGTTAAGTACTTGTGGTGCAACAGGCCATCTGCAAATAAATAAATACACCTTTACGGCATGATATTATGTTTTGTAGAAGGGTGGCAGTGGGCGACTGAGTGTTTTTCAGAAAACCGTCATTGCGTACTTTGGACAAAATATTTTCTCAATATCTCAAAAACATAACGGTTCACGCGAGGGTCAATCACCTTTTGGACCCATATTATTCTCCACAAAGCGATTCAGTTGTTTGCCAAGATGGTGTCACCGTGTCGGTGCATAATAAAGAAGCTTCGAAACGAGACTAACTCTACGAATGCCTTGTTAGAAATATAATAGTTTCTCTGTTCATCACCTCACTGAGCATGCGCAATGATGTTTACAATGGTGGAAATACAGGGGAGGGTCTCGTTCGTAAGTCGGTAGATTCAGCGGCTCGGCCTCTTAACGATAATTTAATAAATGTTGAAAAGTTCACTTCAGTAAACTATTGTTCATTTTTCTGGACGTCACGACAGACTTCAATCTTAAAGCGGGATGGTCGTCACCTGCGCACGCGCGGGAATTGAGTCCTAAGCGACGATAATAACACACGCTAAAAACGCAAAGGTTCATGGGTAAACGCTTGTTTGTAAACATTGACACGCTGTGGCCATCTGACGCATGCGCAGGTGACGACTTCCCCGCTTTAACATTTGGCATAATGTAAAGCTGGTGTCAAAACAACCTCTTCTGCTCCGCCCGCTTTATGGCAGCATTATCATGTGTCGTTTGTACTCGGTCATACATTCGCTGACGTCACATCGACCACGTGACCCCGCGGGTAACACTTCTGGTATACTCACTCTGTTAAATCAACAGGTCTATGAAGATGTTTCATGTTAACTTTCACGCTAAAACTTGCACAATTTACCATACTTTGTACGAAACTGGCGGAAACAACTTCAAACTGCAAATAAGCAAGAGAAACATGTGTTTGTGAACATAATTTGAATGAACAGTGT